CGGGCTCAGGCAATTCACTCACCTAGGCCTCCAAAAGGCACAGGATTACAAGCTGAGCCATGGATCCCGGCTCATAACCATTTATTTATTTTTATTTTTGAGTTGGAATCTCATTCTGTCACTCAGGCTGAAATGTAGTGGCACACTCATGGCCACTGCAGCTTTGACCTGCTGGGCTCAGTCAATCCTTCTGCCTCAGCCTTCCAAGTAGCTGGAACTACAGGCATGTGCCACCATGCCCGGCTAATTTTTTGATTTATTGTAGTGACAAGGTCTCACTATGTTCCCCAGGCTGGTCTTGAACCCCTGGGCTCAGGCAATTCTCTCACCTCGGCCTCCCAAAATGCTGGGATTACAGGCTGGAACCACTGTGCCCAGCTTAATTTCAATATCTTAAGCAGTTATAGATCTACTTAGATTTTCCATTTCTTCTGGAGTCAATCTCATATAGAAAAGCAATCAATAAAGACTACAAGACCAGTTCAAATATATTTCTGTTTGAGTTTTCTGGATCATGTATGAAATTATGAATCTGAAGTCTGCAAAAGAGCTCACCTGTAATTATAAAGTCTTTTTACTTTATTTTTAAGTCGGAGTCTCATTCTGTTACCCAGGTTGAAGTGCAGTGGCACTATCACAGCTACCACAGCCTCGACCTACTGGGCTCAGGTGATCCTTCTACCTCAGCCTTGTTTAAGTAGTTGAAACTACAGGTGTGCACCACTATGCCTGGCCAACTTTTTAATTTTTTTTTTTGAGTTGGAGTCTCACTCAGTCGCCCAGACTGGAGTGCAGTGGCTGCTCCCGGCAACCGCAGCCTCAACCTGCTGGGCTCCGGCGATCCTTCCACTTCAGCCTTCCAAGTAGCTGGAACTACAGGTGCACACTACCACACCTGGCTAATTTTTTGATTTATTGTAGAGATGAGGTCTCGCCAAGTTGCCCAGGCGGGTCTCGAACCCGCAGGCTCAGGCAATCCACTCACCTCAGCCACTTTTTAATTTTTATTGTAGAGACAAAGTCTAGCCAAGTTGTCCAGGTTGGTCTTAAATCCCCAGGCTCAGGCAATCCTCTCACTTCTGCCTCATAAAGTGCTGGGATTACAAGTGTGAGCCATCACACCCGGCTGTAGTTATGAATTTTCTTCGAGTTGGAGTCTATTGCCCAGGCTGAAGTACAGTGGCATGCTCACAGCCACTGCAGCCTCGACCTGCTGAGCTCAGGCACTCCTTCCACCTCAGCCAATCCTTCCACCTCAGCCTTCCAAGTGGCTGGAACCACAGGTGTGCACCACCACACCCAGCTAATTTTTGATTTATTGTAGAGATGAGTTCTTGCCAAGTTGCCCAGACTGGTTTCAGACCCTTGGGATCAGGCAATCCTCTCTCCTTGTCCCAAAGTAGTAGGATTACAGCCATGAGCCACCATGCCTGGCTTAAATATGAATTCTTGATTGTTTTCTTCTTCCCTCTGGAGAAAGGGGGGCAGATAAGTTACCCAATCATCATTTCTCCTTTTGTGGGGTAGTTCTTTTTCTTTTCTCTCTTTTTTTATTATAAAGATGTGGGGTATAATTCAGTGTTAGGTATACAAATGTTGATCATGCAGGTACCTTTGTTGATAAGTTCTTTGGTTTTTAAAAAAATAGTTGGCCCTCTTATTGAGGTAGTGGAACTTTAGAGATCTTAGCTCTATGGGTAGTTCTCTATTCTAACTCCTACTGACATAAACCCAGGACTTGTCTCCTGTCCTGTGAGTAATATCCTAGATTTCTTTCTTCCTTCCTTCCTTCCTTCCTTCCTTTCTTTGAGTCAGAGTCTCACTCTGTCGTTCAGGTGGAGTGCAGTGACATGCTCATGGCCACTGCAGCCTCGACCTGCTGGGCTCAGGCGATCCTTCTGCCTCAGCCTTCCAAGTAACTGGAACCATAGGCGTGTGCCACCACGCCCGGCTAATTTTTTGATTTATTGTAGAGACGAGGTCTCGCCACATTGCTTAGGCTGGTCTTGAACCCCTGAGCTCAGGCAATCCTCTCACCTCCCAAAGTGTTGGGATTGCAGGTGTGAGCCACCATGCCCGGCGATGTCCTAGATTTCTAAAGACCAGCAATCACCCGTAAGATAGCTCCCAAATTAAAATCTACTTACTACTATATAGATCAAACTCCCACATCATTTTTGGATCCTGAAATTTTATTTTCTTAAGAGCTCAGCAATGGAACTAAAAGGATATATATATATATTTTTTTGAGTTGGAGTCTTACTCTGTCGCCCAGACTGGAGTGCAGTGGCCGCTCCTGGCCACTGCAGCCTCGACTTGCTGGGCTCCGGTGATCCTTCCGCCTCAGCCTTCCGAGTAGCCGGAATTACAGGCATGCGCTACCACACCTGGCTGATTTTTTGATTTATTGTAGAGATGAAGTCTTGCTGCCCAGGCGGGTCGCAAACTCACAGGCTCAGGCAATCCACTCACCTCAGCTTCCCAAAGGCACGGGATTACAGGCTGAGCCACCGAGCCCGGCTAAAAGGATATTTTTAATTTTGCATCCAGAATGTTCAGGTGTTTTGTGGCCAACTTTTTTTTCAGTTTAGTCACAGTGCCTGAAATAGAAGTAGGAAGTGTCCAGTTCTTCTTTAGACTAAGAAAAGATTTGGGGGAAATCTTAAGATTATTCAAAACTAAAAGACTGAATGCTTATGGAATAGAGCTTTATAATAAATAATCTAATATAGCATTGTCCAGTAGAACTTTTTATATATTTAAAAAATAGGTTTATTTAACACACATATATATATACATTTTTTTTTTTTTAGAAATGTTTCCTATGTTGTCCAGACTGATCTTGAACTTCCGGCCTCAAGTGATCCTCCCATCTAGACCTCCTGAAGTGTTAGGATTATAGGCATGAGCTACCACACCTGATCTAGAACTTTCTGAGTCAATGAAAATGTGCTACATCTGTGCTAATATGGTAGTCACTAGTCACAAGTAGCTATGGAGCACAAGCAAAGTGGGTAGTGTAACTGAAGAACTGAAATAAAAATCTGAACTAGTTGTAATTATGTTGCCATAAAGGTTCCTTGCACTCTGTAGAGTGGTATTTCATAGGTCCTCTGGTGGCTGAGGCTTCCTATGAGCTCACCCTTTCCTTGAGCCAGGCTTTCTTTTCTTTTTGAGACAGTCTCATTCTGTTTTTGCCCAGGCTGGAGTGAAATGGCAAAATCCTAGCTCACTGCAACCTTGAACCCCTTGGAATTACTCCAAGTGAACTCCTGCCTCAGCCTCCCAGGTAGCTAGTACTATAGGTACAAGCCACTGTGGGAAGCTTTCTTAAGAGTGGAATTCTGATGCAGTGTGAAGAGGCAAGAATGACCCCTGGACTGACCAAAGTCTGTGCGCTGCTCCATCCATGGATCTAACACCTTTCCGCCTCCTCTGCCACCATACCCAAGAGAAAAGCTGAAGGTGGTGCTAAAGGAGATAAAGCCAAGGTGACAAACCCTAGAGAAGATCTGCAAGGTTGTCTGTTAAACCTGCTCCTCCAAAGCCAGAGCCCAAGCCTAAGAAGGACCTGGCTAAGAAGGGAGAGAAGGTACTCGAAGGGAAAAACTGATGCTAGCAAGGAAGGAATAGCCCTGCAGGAAACGGATATGCCGAAAGACCAGACACAGAAAGCTGCAGGTGCTGGAGATGTCAAGTGAAGTGTGTGCGCATTTTTGACAACTGTGTACTTCTGGTGACTGTCCAGTCTGAAATACTGTTTTTTATCAAGTTTTATAAAAATGCAGAATTTTGTTTTACTTTTTTTAAAAATCGATGTTGTTAGCACACAGAACACTTCATTGTTTTTTGGGAAAGGTGCACATGTCCCTAATAGAATGTCTCTGAAGCTGGATTGATGCGGGGAAAACACCTTTCCCTCCTAGTTTTCAGAGACTGCCTCTTGGCTTCCAGAAAGAGGGATTCCCTGATGTTGAAACCCACAGCCACCTTGGTACAAATGCCTTGTGGTGTGAAAAAACAAATTCATTTTGTATGTCTTCTTCTCCCTTTCTGACTTCAGCATAGACTTAACTCCCTTAAACCCATCTGTTGGGACCCGACCCCCAATAACTGATTACCAGTATGTCAGTGATGCCACCAATATGGTGTCCCTCAAAAGAGTAGCAGTTGCATTTATAGATTGTGGATCTTCAGATAAATTCTACCATTTTATTTCCTGAAAGTCAGGGTCGGTTTGTGAAAAGTTGTTAAACATGCTAAATGTGAAATGTCAACCCTCACTCAAAACTTTCCCTGTTCAAAGCATCAAATGAAGACTTCACTGGGTCTTATAGTGGCTTTCTTATTTTGGTAGTCCATAAAGAAGGGAGTTTGAAAGTCGTTGTATACTGCTAACGACTGTCTGCCCATGTCCTGCCTGAAACACCATGACTGTGTATGAAAAGTATCTTTAATAAAGCTGGACACAGTTTGGTTTGGAAAAAAAAAGTGGGATTACAATTATGTCCACATTTATGGATTTGCCACTAATGAATACATTACAATTTACTTTCACACTTCTCTCTTTTGCTCATTATATTCTGGCCCCATGGGCCATTCCTGTTTCTAAAAAATGTCAAACCCATTACCGCTTTAGGGTCTTTGATATCTGATATTTATGTACTCTGCTTGGTCTCTTCACATGCCTTGTTCCTTCTCATTATTCTAGTCTCAGCTCAAATGTCACCTTCTGAGAGCTGTCCACGATCACCTTATCTAAAGGACACCTATCCCCAAGTTCTATCACACTGCCCAGTTTTATTCTATTAAAAGCACTTAGTCATTATCTAAAACAGGTTTGTTTGGACAAATAGTCTCAAAACACTGGCTAAAATAATGTATGGCTGACTAAAACTTAATGTATCAAATCTTGACAAAATTTGTATCTGTCAATAACACCAACGAAAAACGAGCCAGCCAGAAATAAATACATTAAAAGAATATAGCAAAAGCGGAACTTACGAGTAAAAAATTTTATGGTCCCCTCAAAAGAAACCCTGATATATGAATCATATTGCAAATCACATCCCCGGCTGGCATGGCAGAAATACAGGCAAACTGAATACACAGGAGGAAGCCCAGAAAACGCTGATGGAAATGGGACCTCAGGCCGTGTTCGATCACCGTTCTTTTCAGTTAAAAGTGCTCAGTCTACAAAGAATTGATAACGATGGAAATTTCTGCAAAGTAACAATGAAAAATGGGAGAAAAATGGAAATGATTTAAGTCTTCGCTATTAAAAAAATCGCCCAAAGAACAAAATGGGCTCACACTTGCCAGTCAACGTTGGGACAACTGTGATCAAAACGTCAGTATCCAAATACGGTATCCAGCGTTCACAGGGTCCAGAGGCGTCTTCAGTTCCCGCCCCAGATGTAAGATCTCTCTTTACTGCCCCGCTTTAGGAACTCTCGACCTTCTTTCCCCTTCTCTCGGGGCCGGCCAGCACTACGAGGGCGCCAAGACCAGTCACTTGTATTATAAACGCTCCTTCGGACCGGCCAGGGGGCTCAGCTCCCCGAGCAAGGTCCACACACAGCCAGCAAGAACGGGATCTGACGCGGAGAATGCCGGGAGTTGAAGTCGCAAACCCCGCGCGTCGCGAGACTCAGCAACGAGGGCGGAGCCGGGACCTGGGCACGCAGGCGCACACCTCCTCCCGGGCAGCATGGCGGACGCGGCGCCTCAGCCCATCAAGAGAAAGCGTGATGCGGCCGCAGAGGAGGCGGAGGTCCCCGGCACAGAGGAAAAGGAAGCAGGCGTTGGGAATGGCACCTCTGCCCCTGTCCGCTTTCCGTTCTCTGGCTTTAGAGTGCAAAAAGTGCTGAGGGAGTCTGCGCGGGACAAAATTATTTTCCTGCACGGGAAGGTACCACCGGCAACCCCGGGGTGGGGACGCGGGAAGGAGTGAACCAATCATCGCCTTGGAGGCGGATTTTTTTCGGGTCTCGGCCGGAAAATACCAATCACATTACGCCGGGGAGGCGTAGGGCACCGCTGGAATGCGTGGAGGTGGGTGGAAGGGGAGAGGCGACAAGATTACCCATGGAATTAAGGGAATTAACAAATTTCAGTGTAATTTTTCTCATATCTCCGTCGCTGTAAATATCTGCTAATACTTGTAGAGTGTATTGCATATTATAGACCACATGTTAATTTCCCCTAGCCATTCATTATCATTCATTAAATGTATAAAGGGGCTAAGAACCCAGTAAATGTTGGATGTCTTGCTTATCCCTGTCCCTGGAAAGGACATAGAGACTGTAGGAGATGTAATCCCTGCTTTACTTATCTTCAACCCTAAAAGGAGACAATGTATTAAATTGTTGATTCATTTCTACATATGCACTTCAATGTTTGCCAGGCACTGAACTCGATGGTGAGGATGTGGAGATGAGAGTTATCACTGATCATTAGGACTGCAGAGTGTCTCTGGGGAGATAGATATAGCTGACTCTAATACCTTGTTGCTCAGCTCTCTGATAGGGGCTGAGGAGAGATGGAGACCATTCCAGGAACTTGTGAGGACGCCTAACCAGGGCAGATGTGGAATTTCCCCAGACCTACTAGCAGGAATTCTCATCTTTGGGAGGACCGTGAACGCCCGGGCATGGGCTCCCTCTGTGTCTGTTTTTTACAAGGTTTTTTTTTTTTGATTTTCTCAGCCCCACCTGTCTTCAGTGTGCAGCACCTACTGAAGATGTTAGCCATGAGAGCGTTTGAGCTAGGAGGCTAGTTGGGAGACCCAGTTTCTAGTTTCCGTTTTAACAATATTCATGTGACTTTGGGCAAGTCACTTAATCTCTCAAGATCTCAGTTTTTCATCTCTTCTTCTAAAATGGGGAGAATTACTCAAGCCTGTAATACCAGTACTTTGGGAGACCGAGGTGAGAGGATTGCCTGAGCTCAGGGATTCAAGACCAGCCTGAGCAACTTGATGAGATCTCACCTCTACAATAAATCAGAAAATAAGCTAGACGTGGTAGTGCGCGCCTGTAGTTCCAGCTACTTGGAACGCTGAGGCAGAAGGATCACCTGAGCCCAGCAGGTCGAGGCTGCGGTGGCCATGAGCATGCCACTGCACTCTAGCCTGGGCAACAGAGTAAGACTCCAACTCAAAATAAAATAAAATGGGGAGAATTTGACAGAGGTTTTGTAAGCCTAAAAATAGAAGACAGCTGAGACGCTTTGCATTTTTGGAAGAAAGGTACAAGAGCTGCCACAAGGATTTGGGTTGAGATTCCTTCTCTGGGAGAAGAAATGTGAGTGCCATTGGTTAGACTTCCCCAGAGGGAGGACTTCAGGAAAGGAATTCCCAAATACGGAAATTTAAAAAGGTCCTGAGAACTTCTGTCTTTGCTTTCTACACCTCACGTGTGGCTCTGCCCACAGGTGAATGAGACCTCTGGGGATGGAAATGGAGAGGATGCCGTTGTGATCCTGGAGAAGACACCATTTCAGGTGGAACAGGTGGCCCAGCTCCTGATAGGCAGCCCTGAGCTCCAGCTGCAGTTCTCCAATGATATCTATAGCACCTATCACCTGTTTCCTCCGAGGCAACTAAGTGGTGAGCAAGGATGGCTGAGGCATCTGTATGCGGGGAGAATGGGATGGTGGGAAATTAGGGGGTATAGTGACTAGACCCTTCATACTTGATTTGCATATTCTACTATAATAGTTTTCAATGAAGGAGTGGGGGAGTTTCCCCTTAAGGGACATTTGGCAATCCGAAGACATTTTTGTTGTCACAACTGGGGATGGATGGGGAAAGGGGAGTGCTCCTGACATCTAGTGGGTAGAGGCTTGTAATGCTGCTAAACACCCAGCAATACACAGGACATGCCTGCACATCAATGTAATGTCAGTAGCGCTGAGGTTGAGAAACTCTGCTCTGGTGTAGTTTTGGGGAGAGAGTGTAATTCATGGGATAGAATAATAGATTCATCAAATAGAATGATAATAATTGTCAATATTTATTCAATCCTTAACTGTTGTGCTAGCTGCCATTCCAAGTATTCTACATGTGTTAAATACATTTAATCCTCAAAACAGCCCTATTGCGAGAAGACCTTATAAGTGAGGAAACTGAAATTTTGAAAGTTAAGTATCTTCTCTAAAGTTACTCAGCCAGTGGGTGGCAGGAACACTAAGGTCCTTCTGTAGACTGGAGTCTCGCTCACCACACGCATATGTAGATCAACCAGTGTGCTAGGTGCTACAAAGATCAGTCACTGGAAGTGACTGATTGGGGAGACACATAGTGTGATCGAGGAGGATGAACTTGAGAAGGGCAGGAACTTATGGGTTAAAAGGCAGAGATTTGTTTTTGATTGCCAGCATTTTAAAATGTATTAAAAAGAAAAAGAAGCCAGGCTCGGTGTCTCAGCCTGTAATCCCGCGCTTTGGGAGGCCGAGGTGAGTGAATTGCCTGAGCCTGCGGGTTCGAGACCCGCCTGGGCAACTTGGCAAAACCTCATCTCTAC